TTCTTCTGCGGCGGCCTTCTTTCGTGGACGGGCACCGCCGCTCTGGGGGCATGAGCTCCCGCGCCCCGCGCGGCTTCCGCCGGGCGCCCCGCGCGGCTTCCCCCTGGGGGATGATTTCTTGCTTTCTGTCTCTCTATATTTCTGGCAAGTGCACATGCCCCATAGCAAAAAACTTATTTAAAAAAATAATAAATTAACAAGGAAATACAAATAAAAATGACAAAGTACCATGACAAAGACACTCAATTGATCAAAACTAAGTCTGACAATATCAGGTAGTATATAGAACACAGGTCCATAGGATGTTTTATAACATGCTAAGGAAAATGTAAATTAATAAACAACTTTGGCTCCAGAAATGCTATTTCTAAGTATATTCACTTGTGTGTACTTGGAGACACCTCCAGGCATGTTTATAACAGCACTGTTAGTAACATCCACAATGTGAAAACACCCTAAACATCCATTTATAGTAGATGAGATATATATGTTAGAGTCATACAATGGAATACTATTTCAGCAATACAAACTGCCTATAGTTATACACACAATAATTTCAGTAACCTAAAGCTGAATTTAAAAGGCAGGTACTAGACAACTACAAAAAAACTATCATATCTAGTTTGTTAATATACAGCTTTTGGGGGCCAGCAGGTGGCATGGTGGTTAAGGTGCTGGACACTCCCACATAGCCAACCACGGTTCAAGACCTGGACCTGGTGGCTTGCTTTCTCACTTTCCCTCTTTCTCTGTCTCTCTGTTTCTGTTTCTCTGGTCAAATTAAAATAAATGAATGAATGAATAAATAAAAAAAACCTTAAAAATTCTTTAAAAAAATATACAGCTTTTGTATTTTAATGGAAACTTTTAAAAACTTACTATGTAGATCAATGAACATTAGATTAGATTAAAGGTAACATACTGGCTGCCCAGCTACTATAGAACGTTTATTTATTAATAGCGTGTGAGAGTATTTTAGTTTTTTTTTTTTTTTCAAGTTCACATTAGCTGACACTACCAACAAATTAGATTTCATATTAACTGGATTTTTGGCTTCTCTTTATGAAAATCAGAAGATCTGAAGAGCTGGGCTTACATTCTCACATGTCAGCAGAAGCTGACTCACAGCTGACTCTTCAAATGGGGCAAGCACTCCCGAGTTTGTTATAATCTACCCAGACCACTTACTTATGTATATTATGTCAGCAGTCTCTAGGAACATCTTCCTTGAGATTTCTGCCACTGACAGATCAGAGGCCTCCTCTCAGGAGTAGGTGGTCTATTGGGCTGTCAGAAAAGTCATGGCATTTTTTTTCTATGTTTTTCTAGGCAAAAATGCACCGTGACTTTTCTGACAACCTAATAGAACAATGTTTCTCATCATTTTTGTCCTTATCTCCACCCCCAAAGAAGCCTTTTTAGTCAATTTCATTTAATCACCCTCCATGAATTTGTTTTTTGATTCTAAAGGAAGCACAACATATTAATATCATTATAGTCTTTTAGGTTTCTAAAATATGATTTTTTTTTCGGAGAGATTTTTGTTAATAGATGCGTGCACTTGCCAGAGAGACAGAGAGACAGAAAGTGAGAAATCACCCCCTAGAGTGGATGGCCATGCCATAATCCCTTCTTCTCCATTCTCCTCTCAGGGTTTTGGGTGTGCATGCACACGTGCCCAGTGGGAGTTTCAAGCTCCAGGTCCAGAACTTGAACCATGGTTGGCCATGTAGGAGTCCAGCAACATAACCATTATGCCATCTGGTGCCCCTCTAACATGTGATTTAATAAGAACATTAAGGAGCACATTTTGAGGTAAACAAAAAGGAAGAAAATATCACATCAGTATCACGTCCCTATAACAGCTATCACTTATGGATTTATAGCAGACCAGGCACTTTGTGTAACAGGAGGGATTATCTCCATCTATTATTTTAATTTTTGCAAAGGATCTTTCAGTCTTTGACCACATGTATACACTTTCTGGAATAATTATAAATTAGCACTGATCCACAATACATACTTATTAGATGCTTCTCAAATTTGAGAAATTTGTAATTGAGATTTATTTGTTGTGTCAAGGATCAGTACAGACATTTCAATTTGTACCCAATTCTTTTTAACATATGTACCAAAAATTTAAAAAGCCAAGTATACTGTCTTTGACCACATGTATACACTTTCTGGAATAATTATAAATTAGCACTGATCCACAATACATACTTATTAGATGCTTCTCAAATTTGAGAAATTTGTAATTGAGATTTATTTGTTGTGTCAAGGATCAGTACAGACATTTCAATTTGTACCCAATTCTTTTTAACATATGTACCAAAAATTTAAAAAGCCAAGTATACTGTTCTTTTTAAGTTATTCCAGTGACATTCCAGCTTCAAATTTGTAGGCAAATTTTCCTTAAGAGGATATCAAGAACCACTGTCTTCAGATGTTGAAAGCTGTTATGTAAGTCCCACCAAATCACAAATTAGTATCATACAGACTACATACTTCAAATTTCCAATCTTTCACAGCACATTAACAGAATTATTAGGAAAAATGGACTACCACGACCAAAGATGTTACAGAGTGCACACAATTCTGACAGGGAGAGCAACAATCAAAGAGTGGTTTTCTTTAGGAAACAATACTACTAAAAAACATAATAGAAGTCATTTAAAATATTCAAGACACATTAAATGCATGACTGTGACTCCAAACTGTCATTTAGTATGCTTTGTATTTAGGATATAAAAACTACCCACCCACCCCCACCTATGGAATGTTAAGCTGACATGCAAGAGAGTCAAAGCCTCCTATACGTCAATATCCCACTATTTTCTGGTTGTACTGAAAAATAAACAACCAGGAAATGATTTCACCTCTTAAAAAAAGCATTTACACTTAAAAAATGGGATGAGGTGGGCTTCTCTCCTTAAAAATGTTTCTAGAGCTACTAAAAAACTTGCATTTACAAAATAGTTGATAAAAATATTCCTCTGGATTGTACAAGAAGGGAGACAGGGACCATTGATAAGACATGGTATATGATATTACTCAGACTTGACTTCTTGCCTGCTTCATCAGAGGGTGGGCGCTCCTCATTTTTAGTTTCTCCATTTTCTGCAGGTAAATCTTCTTTAGTGTCTCAGTTGGCCACTTCAGCCTGTTTCCCCTTTGCTCCCCTTTTCCCTTTTGTTTGCACTCTTGTCTGAAGATTTATCCTTCCCTGCCGCCTTTTTTGGCTTCGTCTCCACTTTTGCAGGAGGTTTAGCAGACAACCTCGCCAATCTCCTCTTGGGCTCTTCCTTGGCCGCCCCCTCGGCTGAGTTGACCTTCCTCTTGGGCATCTTGGCTGCGGACAGGGTGAGTGCTGGGTGCTTGATAAGGCCGCAACACGCCTAGAACCTTTGCGGAGTTGAGCGGATAAACCCTACCACTCCTCCCGCCGCTGGAACGGAGCTGCTGGAACTCGCCCACCTTATTATTTTTTTTTTTTTTGAGAGGTTTTCGCTATAGGGCGCGTGAGCTCGCTAGACAGACAGACAGAGACAGAAAATGAGAAATCACCCCCCAGGGGGATGGTCACACCGCAATCCCTTCTCCTCCATTCTCTTCTCGGGATCTTGGGCACGCACGCACATGCGCCCGGCGTGAGTTTTAAGCCACCGGGTCTGGGACGTGAACCACGGTCAACTACGTGGGAGTCCAGTGACATAGCCATTACGCTAACTGCTGGTCACCTTATTATTTTTTTTAAAGGATTTTGCCACAGGGTGTATGCACTCACCAGTTAGAAAAATTTATTTATTTACATTTTCCCACAAACATTTACTTTACATCTCAAAATGTTTTTGCTCATACTCCATAGTCCTTGACAGTGAATAAACTTTCAAAATTTTAAAAACCTGAATTTTAAAGATAACTTTCAAAATATTTGTTATAGTTTTGTTTGTGACTGAGACAGTATGGTTTTAAATATTTTTGAGAAAATATTTACATGTCAACTACTCAAACTATTGAAAAGCAAACACTCAGCACATAATTCACATGTGAACCTTCCCAACTCAGCTCTCCCTACCAAGTATTCTGTGGTTTACCATCTGCTAGCAAAGATCAGTCTTTCTCTTCCTTCAAAGTCTTCTTCAAGGTAATCCTCTGGTTGCAATCTCTACTAATTACAATGGTGGGCTGGAAAAAATCCAGGTTATTTTATGGTACGAATTCTTTCATATGGCTTCTCTAATTCTCTCTGCCTGGCAGAACTGTTTATGGTGTCAGGCAATCTTTCCAAGAGCTTCTGTTGGCTTTCTTGAGAACTATCTTAGTTTCATAGTTTTCTGGTCATATCTTCAATATGACATTACAGTCAAAGCCCTGGCAATAACGAGCATTTCCAATTTATGATGTATAGCAACAGGAACTATTGAACGTATGCAGATAACCATTGTGCCACAAAATAAGAAGACTCACAAATATTTTCTAATTCCAGAGGGGTCAGGAGGGAGAAAAGTTTCAATTTAAAAAGCACACAAACAGAAAAAGAAATTTTTTTTGAGAGGTTTTTGCTACAGGGCGCGTGCGCTCGCCAGACACCTCAAAAGCAAGCAAAAAAAATTTTTTTTAAGAGAGGTTGTCTTTTTGCTATAGGGCGTGTGCGTTCGCCAGACAGACAGAGAGAGACAGAGAGACAGAAAGCGAGAAATCACCCTCTGGGGGGATGGCCACACCGCAATCCCTTCTCCTCCATTCTCCTCTCGAGATCTTGAGCGTGCACACACACACACGTGGCGTGAGTTTAAGCCACTGGGTCCGGGACTCGAACCGTGGTCGACTACGTGGGAGTCCAGCGACATAGCCATTACGCTAACTGCTGGTCCCAAGAAAGCAAAATTCTTAAATCTGGAAAACAAAGGATAGAAGAAAATCAGTAATGTTTTAATCAAAAGTTATAAAATTCTATTTCACCAGTTCAGCCTCATGTAATTAATCTCTCTTCTGTTGAACGTGCAGTTACCATGGTCCAATCTTTCTGTGTGTGGAGGCCAAACTGCAGAGTAAGAAAGGAAGGTTAAAAAAGAAAGAAAAAGAAAAAAAAAAAGAAAAATAAAGAAAGAAAAACAAAGTGAAAGTAGGAGGAACAACCAGAAAAGGAAAAAAAAATTTTTTCTGAGAGGTTTTGGCTATAGGGCGTGTGTGCTGGCCAGAAAGACATAGAGATAGAAAGTGAGAAATCACACCCCAGGGGGGATGGCCACACCGCAATCCCTTCTCCTCGATTCTTCTGTTGAGATCTTGGGGGCACACACACACATGTGCCCGGTGTGGGTTTAAGCCAGCGGGTCCGGGACTCGAACCACGGTTGACTACATGGGAGTCCAGCAACGTAGCCATTACACTAACTGCTGGTCCCGCCTAGCATGAATTTAAGCCACTGGGTCCGGGACTCAAACCACAGGCAACTGCATGGGAGTCCAGCAACACAGCCATTATGCCAACTGCTGGTCTCAAGAAAAAAAAATTTAAACGGCAAAAAAAGAAAAGAGAAAGGAGAGGTCAGAGGTGAGAATAAGTGTTTTAAAAAATTTTTGTTTTTAATTTAAAGAGAGAAAGTGACAGAGACAGAGAGAGGACAAAGGTTGCCCTACTATCTGAGTTTGAGAGTCTGGAAGATGAGGGTTTAGAGTAAAGATTCAGTCACTTTGGTCCCTGAACATGGTAGGACACACCTCAGATTTAAATGGCTTCTATCTGAGTTTTTGGGGTCTGGAAGATGGGATTTATAACAGAGATTCAGTTGCTTTAGTCTCTCTATCAGGTATGATTTTCTAGCTGCCAGGTTCAGGACTCAAACCATACAGTCAGTCATGTGAGAATCTGCATCGTAACCAGAACGTCACCTGCTGGCCTGCATCTTATTTTTCTTTTAAATAATTATTTCACTTTAACTTTATTTATTTATTTTAATTTGACCAAAGAGGAACAGGGATAGAGAGAGTGGGAAAGTGAGAAAGCAAGTTGCCAGGTCCAGGACTCAAACCACAATCAGCCATGTGGGAGTCCAGTGTCTTCAATCACCACACCACCTGCTGGCCCCTCATCTCATTTTTTAAATAACAGCTTTATTGAGATACAATTCATATATCATTACATAATTCACCTATTTAAAATATAGTTTAATGGTTTTTAACATGTTTACAGAGTTGTGTAACCAACATGTCAACTAATTTCCAAATATTTTCCACCACCTTGAAGAAAAATCCTATATACCCTTTAGCAGTCACTATTTCTCTCCAACACTTCTCCATCCCTGGGAAAGCAGTAATTTATTTTCTGTCTCTATACATTTGCCTACTCTGGACATTTCATATAAATGGAATCACAGTACCCCTATAAAATTTTAACACTGTATATATACTGTGTACTTGTATTTATACCATATGTTTATCTACTCTTTACACGTAAAAGAGTAAGTAAGATGTTTTCACCTCCCAGAACCAATTTTCATCCCCTCAGAAGCACTATGACCTCCATTTAGAATGCATGTTCTAGAAAATGACTTTCAAAAAAGTCCCTTCTCAATTGTTCTGTGAGTCATCAGCACTACCTATATGGTAAAGAACACATTCTTTTCTTTCTCAGCACATTCTTTTTTTTTTTCAGCACATTCTTTTCTTTCTCAAATAGGGCCTAACATGAGTAGGCACTCAACAAACACTGGTGAATAAACAAACAGATGATGGTATTACCAGTCTCAATGTAATCTTGTATAAGGTGAAAAAAAAAAGTTTTATGTTTAGTGATTTTATTAAAATATTATTTTGGGGGAACCAGCAGTTAGCGTAATGGCTATGTCGCTGGACTCTCACGTAGTCGACCGCGGTTCGAGTCCCGGACCCGGTGGCTTAGAACTCACGCCGGGCGTGTGTGCATGCGTGCCCAAGATCCCAAGAGGAGAATGGAGGAGAAGGGATTGCGGCGTGACCATCCCCCCGGGGGGTGATTTCTCGCTTTCTGTCTCTATGTCTCTCTCTGTCTGTCTGGCGAGTGCACGCGCCCTATAGCGAAAACCTCTAAAAAAAAAATTATTTTGGAGGAAATACCTGGTAAGACATATTATCTTCCATTAAAAAAAATAATAATAATTCCAGGCTATTCCAGCCTGTTCACTTCTCAGTGAACTCTAATGTCTCAAATTCTAAAAGCTAAAAATTTAGTTGGAATAGGATACCAGATAAAAATTCAATGCCCATTTAAATTTGAATTTCAGATAAATAATTTTTTACATAAATATGTCCCAAATACTGCATAAATATACTTACGTTAAAAGTTTATTGGGGGGGAATAGCAGTTAGCGAAATGGCTATGTCTCTGAACTCCCATGTAGTCGACCATAGTTCGAGTCCCAGCCCCAGTGGCTTAAACTCACGCCAGGCGTGTGTGCATGCATACCCAAGATCCCGAGAGGAGAATGGAGGAGAAGGGATTGCGGCATGGCCATCCTCCCCTGGGGGGGGGTAATTTCTCACTTTCTATCTCTCTATCTCTCTCTGTCTTTCGGGAAGCGCACGTGCCCTATAGCAAAATCCTCTTCAAAAAAAAAAAAAAGTTTACTGGGGACCAGCAGTTGTAGTAATGGCTATGTCGCAGGACTCCCATGTAGTCGACCATGGTTTGAGTCCTGGACCCAGTGACTTAAACTCAATCCGGGCATGTGTGCATGTGTGCCCAAGATCCCAAGAGGAGAATGGAGGAGAAGGGATCGCAGCATGGCCCTCCCCCCTGGGGGGGGTGATTTCTCACTTTCTGTGTCTCTGTCTCTCTCTGTCTTTTTGGCAAGTACATGCGCCCTATAGCAAAAAACTCTCAAAAAAAAAAGTTTATTCATTATTTATCTGAAATTTAAAATTTAACTGGGTATTTTACATTTTTATTTATTAAATCTGGCCAGCTTAAGTTGGAATAATAGTACTGCAAGAGGTAGCAATAACTAAATGGTTAGGAATGTGCACTCTGAAGCCCAGGCTGCCTGGGTTCATACCCCAGCACTATCACTTAACAGCTATGTGGCCTTTAGCAAGTTACTTAACTCTTCTGCTTCTTTTCTCTCATACATAAAAAGAAGTGCATGTTTTGAATAAAATGGAATATTAAAAACTAAACAATTCAAGAGCCAAAAAAAGGGGAAAATATTAAACATATAGTATGGGATATGGTGTAAAGTACAACAAAGAAAAATAAAGCACAGAAGGGTGATACAAAGTGATAATACAAAGAACATTTCAGAAAAGGTAAGGTAACCAGGAAAAAGGTTTTGTAAGATAACATTTATACAAAGATTCACTGGAAATGAGGATGTGATTTAAATATGTAAAGTCTGAAATCAGGGATAAGGACCAATTTTTATATAAATTGAGACTTTGAGAACCAAGTCTGTAGAGAGCCTAACTCGACTCACCTGGGAAACAGCAGATGGCAGACTATTTAAAAGCTTTGTGTTCTTTGGGTGTTGTGGATTGTCTAAAATCTTTGCAATCTTTTGGTGTTGCAGACTATCTAAAATCTTTATGTTCTTTTGGTTTTCTTTGGTGTTCCTCTTTTCTGCACAAACAGAGTCCTGAGCAGGGGAAACTAGAAGGGAAACAAGAATAACCATGGAATTGAGTCCTGTATGGCAGTACCCACAGATACCACTCTCATGCTACCCCATTAACCATAGTAATTTCTCTCAATACAGCAAGTTCCAAAAGAGAGTTCTAGTAATTTCCCAGCTCTAAACCCCTCAATGGCTTCCCACTGTCTCCCAGATAAAATGAAAGTTCCCTCTATATCATTAGTTTCCAGCCTTACTGTCCAACCAAAATCAGCAGGGAACTTAGTTTCTCAACTATAAAATAGAAATAAGAGTAATACATAAATTCCTCAGGACTTTTGTGAGAATTAAACATTAAATATGTAAGGTAAATATTTTTTTAAGTGGCATCTTTTATTACTGAGACTTTTTATATCTGTTTAACCTCACTGATACAGAAGATAACTTCTACCTTCCTTATAGGCCTTCCTTGTCTGTTGGCTCTTTCTCTAGCACACATTTCATTTATCTGTTATTTCTTTCTCCTACCCTAAAGAGCTCTTTCTTTCCCACCTGAACTCCAGCTCCACCAACAATTCCATGCCTTTAGCCAGGTTTAACCTCTCTGGGACAATACCCACCATGTCCACATAAGGCAGTATAACATCGTTATTTTAAAAAAATAATTATTTATTAAATTTTATTTATTCATTCATTAATTTTTAATTTGAGAGGAAAGAGAGAGAAAGAGGGGAAGTGAGAAAGCAAGCCACTAGGTCTGGAACTCAAACCATGGTCAGCCATGTGGGAGTGTCCAGCAGGGGATGCCACCTGCTGGTCCCCATATTAAGATTTACATGATGCTTAGGGAAAGTGTGATGATGCTTAGGGAAGGAATGTAAATTGTTACCAAAAAAAAAAAAGTTTCAGAAAAAAAAATAGCTATTCAATGACTGCAGTAAGATATATAGCCCCAGTTAGGTGCTACTTTATAGGATGCATAAAGTTAGACTTGTGTTCATGGAAATGTATATATCACCTGTGCTTGCTATGAAACTATTTAAATTAATTAAGGTCTTTAGTAATTCAATAAAATGTGAGGGGAAAACAGTATAGAAAGCAAACATAGATACCAGAGACAGTGTGGGAGGAGAGTGGGAGATGGCAGAGGGTAAGAGATAGGGAATCAAGGATGGGGGAAAAAAAAAAGCAAAACATACAGAAAACAAGAAATGGAAAATTATTTGCTGACAATAACATGTTTGTTGATGTGCTTGATCAAGACAATATACAGTGTACTCTGGATGGAAAATCTCACTTTGTATGCTGTAATGATGTACAGTGAATGAATGCAAATAAATAAATTGAAATTTAAAAATATTAATATTTTTAAGGTAGTTAAAAAAAAAAAGATTTACAAACACAGGAGTCATTAGCCTAATCTTTATCCTGACTGTCAATTACCAATTGTGGAACCACTAGGAAGTTACTAACCCTTCTGTGCCTCAAAGGAGGATAACACCTAGTATTTCCTATTTCACAGGGCTATTCATAGAATTAAATGAATACATAAAACCTATAATAATAATTGTTAAATGCTCAACATGTTCATTATTAGCACTTTAAAAATTAGTTTAAGGAATGCAGGTGCACACATTGGCTTAATCATAATTCTAGCTCATGATATGCTATCAGCATTGAGCCATGCATGGCCTTCATGTTCCTTTTAAATTCATTGATCTGAATTCACTATCTAACCCAACACTACATTTTCAGTAATTTACATGTACCCATGTGCTTCTTTCTGTCCTTGCTCTGTTTTACCTCCATAGATAACTAATCTTGGATCACTTATGTTTCCTTCCCATACACATATATAAACATTAAATAATATTTTATTTTTAATTAGTATTTTTTTCAAAGGATTATGAGATATGAGTGACTTTCTTCTCTCATTCTTAAAATGTCCGCCTTAAGGGTCAGCAGGTGGCATAGTTGTTAAGGTGCTAGACTCCCATATGGCCAACAATGGTTCAAATCCCAGACCTGGCACATCTGTGTCCAATATCCCAAAAGGGGAATGGAGGAGAAGGGACTGCATTGTGGCCATCTCCTTCAGGACTGATTTCTCACTTTCCATCCCACTCTCTCTCTCTGGTGAGTACATGCACCCTATGACAAAAACTGAAAGAAAAAAAAAAAAGTCTTCCTTAGGTTCAATCTAAAAACTTGAGTTTTCAAGAGACCAGATTTTGACAGATGTTGAACTTACAGGACTTGTAGCTCCCATATTTTATGTCTTATTGCATGTAAAATGTAGTCATTCATTCAAAAAATCATTTTTGTTCTTGAATTCAAAGACTAAATAATATGAAGATCAATTTTTCCAAACTTATATTTAATATATTAATGCTATGAGCAATCCCTAAAGGTTGTTTTTGTAGTATAGGTGTGTGTGTTTTATGATACTAAATTTTAGGCTGGCTAAGAAATATGGGGGGAGGGGTTGTTGGTAGGGAGAGGGCCAAAGCCAGTATTCAGAGAAACAATAAATATTAAAAACAAATACCAACTCTAAAATTTCTGGTCTCTCACGTAAGATTAGGCAGATTAAACTGAGTGTATAAGATTAATTCGTTCATTCTGAAAGTTTTTATTCAGGTATTATGTACTAGGCATACAACAGTTATTCAATAAATGAAAACAATCAGTTGTTTCCTCTCTCTCTCACCTTCCTCATTACATGCCTGGATCAAGTTTGCCACTAGGGTTCCAGCCTCTTTGCTGTTCTTGGGCCGTTTTGACCTCACCCAGGTCTGTACCTCCACTGGTAGGGTGCTCAGAAATTGCTCTAGCACCAGTTGCTCTATCATCTGCTCCTTGGTGTGAGTCTCTGGCTGTAGCCATTGCCGGCAAAGCTCCTGGATTTGGCTTACAGCTTGGTGAGGCCCAGTTACTGACAAGTGTTGAAAATGCCTAAACTTTTGACAAGAAGCTTTCAGAGTTCTTGTGTTTCTCATTTGGATAGTTTCTGGCTTTTCCTCTTGATCACGTAGACAAAAGATGTGAGGATGCCTCAAGATATCCAAAACCTTCGGCATAGGCAGCATTTTGGCCCTTGACAGGACAGTGGTACTCTTAAAGGCAGGCTACTCCAGAATACACTGTATAGAAAGATGGTGAACAGAGCTGTAATAGATGAAAGGATACCTCAGGACCTACAGAAATTTCGTAGTGACTTAAGAATGGCCCATAGAGACAAAATTGGACAGTGGGGTGTAAGTTATCTGAAGCAAAGGGAGTTAGCTTATTTCACACAAATGCTTAAATATACATTCATAGATACTTATACATAAATATACATAGATGCTGCCTAAGTCCCATTCCCAGGTATGAAAAATTAATAAGCACAAGCTAGAATTATGTCAAAAATGGCGCTGAATAAAAGAACTTGATCCCCACACCACAATGAACTAATCTGATGAACTACAGAAAAAGTATTTAACTTCAAGAAATGAAGGATTTAAAAGAACTATATATTATATAGAATGAGGAAAGATATAATGCATACATTCTACAAAGGCCTGGATTCTTTAGCTAGAACCTTGTCACAGGAAGCAAGAAAGGTACAAATTTTTCTAATAACTTTCCTGCCACCACGAATTATTAAATTTGCTATCCTTTCCTTCTTTGGATATGTGATGTCCCTTGAATTACATTTCTAGGTCTGCAGCCTTCAGGGAAAGATCTTGAGAACGTAGTAGTGGAAATGACTGAAATCCTTCCAGTTTGCCTCCCTAGACCAGCCAGACCCAAAGCTAGATAGAGAGTTATAAGCCTCTCTTCTATCCCAGATGGGAAAATATGACCCTGAATGGTCAAGGACCTGTAAGGTACAAGGGCTGAAAGAGAGCTTATGCCCTCTTCAGAGGGTACCCTCAGCATCCTTCCCTTTCCCTCTTTTCTATAAATTCTTACCTTAAATTTTTATCTTTCAATATCTTTTCAATATCTTATCTTTATCTTTTTTTTTTTTGAGAGAGATTTTTGCTATAGGGCACGTGTGCTCACCAGAAAGAGAGACAGAGAGACAGAAAGCGAGAAATCACCCCCCAGGGGGGATGGCCATGCTGCAATCCCTTTTCCTCCATTCTCCTCTCAGGATCTTGAGCATGCATGCACATGTGTCTGTGGTGAGTTTAAGCTACCAGGTCCAGGACTTGAGCTGTGGTCGACTACATGGGAGTCCAGTGACATAGCCATTACGCTAACTGCTGGTCCCTCAATATCTTATCTTAACCTACCTTCCTTTTCATCTAATTCTTAGCAGCTTTTTTTATCATAATACCCCTTTATTCAGTCTTTATATTTAAACTCTAAATACCACTAAAACTCTTCAGAAGGCTAATGTCAACTAATTAACTGTTCAATGACTTTTCAGTAGCCACTGATCTATTTGGGTTTTCTACTTCTTGAACCCACTTTTCTTTTTTGTATTTATTTTTTAATTTTATTTATTTTTTCAATTTACTGTAGGCAATACACTCATCAGAAAGAGTGAGAGAGAGAAAGCCACCAGGTCCAGGACTCGAACTGCAGTTGGCCATGTGAGAGCCCAGTGTCTCAACCATCATACCACCTGCTGGCCCTAAACTGAATTTTCTTAATACTCTTTCAGAAAAACCTCTCATTTGCTTGAAATATAATATAAAAATTCAGTATATTAACACTCATTGAGTATAGCACTCTTGGAATATTAAATCTCCTAAGTATGTAACTTCATCTTTATTTTAAAGATTTATTTTATTTATTTATTTATTTATTTTTAATTTGCTACATGGCATGAAAGCTCACCAGGGAGAGAGAGAAAGTGAGATAGCAAGCTGCCAGGTCAGGGACTCAAATCATGGTCTGCCATGTGGGAGTTTAGTGTCTTAACCACCACGCCACCTGCTGACCCTGTGACTTCATCCTTTTAGTCAATGATCTGTATTTCTTTCTGAAAATTTTTATTGTTTTTAAAAGTATATTTCTTCTCTGAGCACACATTCACACAAGCACATGCACACACTCCAAACAAGGCCCTGATGCTATGATCCACCCTCAACTTCAGTCAGCCCCAGCCCCATGTAAATGCTCAGCATACAGAAGGAAGTCTCTGGATAAGAATCTAGAAGCTTTCCATATGGGTTAGTCTCACAGAGCTGTGTTTTACCACTGTACTCTGTCCAGTCCATTTTTTTCCTTCTTTTTTGTTTTGTTTTGCTATAGGTCACATGTGCTCTCCAGAGAGAAAGAGAGAGGGAAAGTGAGAAATTACCCCCTGGAAGGTGGCCACACCCCAATCCCTTCTCTATTACTCTTTCGGGATTTGAGGCATATGTGTGCGCACACACACACCTGGAGTAATTTTCCAACAGTCAGGTCTGGTACTCAAACCATACAGTGGCCATGTGGGATCTAGCAGATATAACCTCCATGCCACCTGCTGGCCCTCCTTTCTTTTTAATTGCCAAAAAGCACATGTACTTGTCAGGCAGAGGGAGGGAGAAAGAGAAAGCACTTCCAAATGAGGAATGGTAATGCTGCAATTCCTTTCCTCTATTTCTGTCAAGATTTGGGGCATACACACAGATACCTGGTATGTTTTTTAAGCCACCAGTGCCAGGACTTGAACTGCAATTGGCCATGTGGAATCCAATTCCCTATATACAACACTTAATCACAGCACAAAAGAGCCAGCCCGATTTTTCTCTTTATTGCCACCTTCTCCCCTCTTCTTTCAAGTATTAGGTCATCATGAAAGTCATGCCGTATTTTTGTTTTTCTAGGCAAAATGAGTCATAACTTTTCTGAAGGTCCAATATTCATGTCAAGTTCTATTACTATTATTTTTGTTTTCTTATATATTAATTTCACTTATCTTTATTATTTTCTTACTCTTGTTTTCTTTAGAACTTTTATCAGGTTTTTGGTTGGTACATAGTCAATCATGGTTTGAGTCCCAGACCCAGCAACTTAAAACTCATGCCAGAAACTCAGCACATATGCCCAAGATCCTGAGAAGAGAATGGAGGAGAAATCCTGGGGGAGTGACTTCTCACTTTCTGTTTCTCTGTCTCACTGGCGAGTGCACGTGCACTAAAAAACAAAAACATAAAAAAGTTGTTCATTTTTGTTATATACCAAGGTTGGAGGATGGTATAAGTCTAATTTTCATTTTCTTAATAACTCACAATTACACTTTTGATTTCTCCCTTGACCAAAAACATCCTTGGGAGAGTACAATTTAATTTCTACTAAAAACTTGACATATGGGAAATGAACAGTTTCTGTACTATGAAGCACTAGTAACTTGGGAAATGATATGTAAAACTGGGTAATTGGTAGCACCTCTTTGAATTTAGCGTTTCTGATCAATAAAAATAGAGAAAAAAGACCACCTTCTTCCCCACACTGCTGTAAGAATTAAATAAGGCGGCACAGGTATTCCATCCTGGACAATCAGTTGCTTTTTCTACAATAAAAAAAAAAAAAATTCTAGATCCAGCCTAGTGGCACAATCAGTAGCAAACTGAATTGCAGTAATGGTAGTCATATAGCTGACTATAGGTTTGATCTCAGAGTTTGCTTGAAAACACACTGGTGTGTGCATATGTGTTCAAGGTCTGATGATTTAGAGGACCAGGGAAAGGGGATCTTGGTATAATAAGACATTGCTGGGGGTGCTTCTCTCTCTCATGCATGCACAACCACTCTCTATCATAAATTTAAAAATAATAATAATAAAAAAACATCTTTAAAGGAAGACATAAACAGATGTATTATGTAACTTAATGCAAAGAAATTTTGTGCATTTTTAAAACAAAAAAGAGCAGCAAGTAGACTTCTTGGAAGGATAAAGGTAGTTTTTTTATACTTTATATCCAAACAGCCATTTCCATTTCCCCTCCAAGATTCTTATGAGAAGCATGGGAGATGAAATAATAAGCAATGACAAAAGCAGTTAACATGTTAAATAAATGAAACTCTGTTTTTAAAAAAAGTTATGAGTGGTGGTGGATTTCTTAATTTCAGAATAGGGAAGAGGTTCCAGAGAAGCAAGGCTAAGAGTATGTCAGGAGACGCAGATGGAAACCAAGAGGCCCTGGATGGGCTGAGGCTGAAGCAGAGGTTGGGAGCATGGAGCAGGGACTATGGGAAGCATAGGAAAGAAAGATGCGAAGTGGAGAGGACTGGACAGAGAGTGGGGGCAGAGAGGAGAGGAGCCAGTCCAAGGACAAAGTGCAGGAACAGGCCAAAGACAAGAGCAAAAAGAGGTGTGGGGTTGAGACAGAGGGAGGTACTGAGGTAAAGGGAGAGGCTGAAATGGGAGAAGAGTAGGGTCAGGAAGGAAAAACAGAGTAAGTAGAACTGATGGGGTAGGGGAAAGTCAGGAAAAGAGAAGCAGAACCAACATCAATAAGGGCTAGGGACTCATAGAGAGGAGCAGAACCGAGGAAGAGGAGCAGTAGAGAGGGGTGGAGTTGAGAGAGGCAATGGGCCAGGGCAGCAAACAGACACGGGAAGGAGTGGAACTGAGGTAGGGAGTCAGAGGGACAGAGCTGAGGGATCCAGCTTAGAGAGGTGTGGGGCTGGGATAGGCCAGGGTGTGGGGACACGTGGAGGAGAGAGCGGGACTGAGGTTAAGGAGAAGCAGGGCAAGCACTTGAGAGGGCTGGGGCAGGGCTGGGCGAAACAGGTGGTGGCCTGGCAGGAGGAAGGGACACAGGGGTGGGGAGGGGGGCGAGAAAAAACAGGAAATGCAGAATAAAGCGGTGAGTCTTAGAGTCCGGGAAAGAGGGAGGGACACAGCAGGACACGATTGAGGGCGAAGGCGCAGGGAGGAGGGGGGTGGGGACACGGGGGTGGGGACACAGGAGTCTGACTAGGCAGGACGGGCAGGTGCTGAGGGAGGAGGAGGAAGCGCGGCTGACAGGTGAGGCTGAGGTAGGAGGGAAGCGCAGAGGGCTGGGACCGCGGCGCAGGGGAGAGCAGAGGCGGGCTGAGGCGGCCCGAGGCGGGGCAGGGCC